GAGATGATATAAGGTCTCCTGCCTTGAGCAGGGGGTTGGACTAGAAGACTTCCAAAGTCCCTTCCAGTCCTATGATTCTATGTTTATGTAGGTTATGGTTACCCAATCTATATTATGCATTTCCTTGTAGAAACACATGGGGATAGGGACATAAAATAGCTTCCATGAAAAACTTCCAAGGAAGGAAGGAAGATTGTACAATCTGTCCAGACAGCACACACCCACACCAAGCAGATCTTGACTAATATACAACTTGCCACTGTTTTCCTTGTGAATTGCTGCATCTTCCAGATCTACATGCTAGACTGAAAACTCCCATTATGGAGTTTTCTCTATGGCCTGCAATCTAACCCTCAAGGCTAGCATTTGTACTTGTGCATTTGCTGAGCAATAAGGCTATGCATTAAACATAAATCCTCACAGCACAAATGGCTGCAAGTCTAGCTACAAAGTGAGCACATGTGAATGTATGTACATATGAAACCACCACCCATCTCAAAGCTTTACTCCTATTATTTCTTCACTTAGGTTGAATTCTGAATTCTTCTCCTGGAACTCACATTTGTTCCTGTCTCTTCCACAATATCCTTCCCTTATTATTTGACTCAGTTAAGTGCCAGATCCTTTTATTTCTTGACGCTTCAACGGTTCCATCTTTGGCTTTCTCTGCATTTTGACCCTCTCTCATACACCTCTAAGAGCTTCCAAATGCTTCCACTTTCATACAACTGATGAATGGACTGGTAGAAAACCAGTCCACCTAGCAACAGGCAAGCTGGGTTTTTGATCTCTGCCTCCCCATCAGCATTTCTTCCCAAGAACAGAAGGAATTAATGCATAAGATGGTATGAGCATCTTCCAACAGGCATCTGGAATAGAGCCCACAAAAATCCCTTCCCCCTTTTATTTATTTTTATGCAGTCTTTAGTTGATCCCCCTTCATTTTATTAAGAATTAATATTTCATTTTCATCTCTTGAGAAAGGGCAAATTTGCACAATGGTTATACAGGATTTCCAACTTACATAGTACATGCTCTGGGCTGGGCCTTTTTAACTCTTGCCTACCCAAGAGATGAGAGAAAGGAGCACCCAGCAGCCACTGTGTCAGGTTCAACACCTTACAAAGAACATTTGTCCTAGCATTTGGAACAGACATTTGCCCAGTTTATCAGCAAACATTGAGAATAAATGGGCCAACAGCTTCTAAGAGTGCTACTTCACATGGGTGAGCCAGCTTTTGCAAACTTTTAAACATTCCACACCTTGGAATCTCCCAACAAATAAAGCAAATACGTCTGTAGCTAGCCTGTGTCACTAATAGCATTTGAAAAGCACTGAATACAGAGCTGAGATTTCAAATACGACGCTGGCAAACTGCTGTGCTGTAATCAGTAATAATTTAATGCAATCACGGCAGGTATAAGAATACCTGAAATACATAAGAGTCTTCTCAACTGGGGACTGTTCCTTCCAAGCAAAAATCAAAACACCAGGAACCATAAAACCGAATTATAGTAGCTGCATGGCCACTCTATAAAGGGAAAAGGATTGTGCAAGGGGCAACTGTGCAAGGAGTTTGCTACAACTGGGGGGTTGAAGAATAAAATGTTAAAAGATACTCCCCCTCCCATACACACACACACACATATGCCGTACCTTGAATTTTAAACAGCTTAGGTGACGAGAAGGCAACTTATGCCTTTGGGCACCAATTTGCCCACAGTCACCTTCTATGGTATTTGCTAAGCTCCTTGCTCCAATTTTTTTCTTTTCTTAAAATCTTCCATTTTAAAGAAATGGAAATTCGGCACATTGCAAAGCAAAGTCCCTGCAACCAGCAGACATTTGGGTCCCCACAGGAATTCTTACAAAATAAAACCGATGAATGGCTGCAGCTTAGTGCTCTTCTTGGGAAGTGTACTCATCTGTAAAATTAATGTTTTGTAGCTGGCCCCATTCACTATGACAGCCCCTCTGCAAATGCCCAAACACCCCTCCCTCATGGGGGTAGTTTATTAGCAAATGATAACACATGTTATCATAATCCAACCATTTTCTAGCCTTCATCTCAATAATATTAAAGTATCTGTTGCAATCCAAGACTTGGTTCTGGTCTCAATCAATCAGAATAGAGCTGGAAGGGACCTTGGAGGTCTTCTAGTCCAACCCCCTGCTCAGGCAGGAGACCCTATACCAGTGATGGCGAACCTTTTAGAGACCAAGTGCCCAAATTGCAACCCAAAACCCACTTATGTATCGTTGGGTGCCGGGTGGGCATGGCTCATTGGGTGGGTGTGGCCAATTAGGTGGCCGTGGCCCATTGGGTGGGCATAGCTGCAGTGGTAACGGCAGACTGGGTGGGACTAAAAAGTTCAACCAATCAATTCCAACTTTGCGAGATCTTTTTTTTTCCACGAGAAGTTGAAATTGATTGATTGATTGAACCTTTTTTTTTTTTTTTGCACATGGCAGTGGAGGCCTAAAGTGAAAAGGTTTTATAAAACCCAGCTGAAGGCCTAGGACTGGGGCAACAGCATGCGTGCCCACAGAGAGGGCTCTGCGTGCCACCTCTGGCACGCGTGCCATAAGTTCGCCACCACAGCCCTATACCATTTCAGACAGGTGGCTGTCCAGTCTTTTCTTAAAACCCTTCAATGATGAAGCACCCACAACTTGCCTTTTTTCAGACTGTTTTTCCAATCTTCAGTCCTACTTTTACATTTTAGTGCAGTCTGGGGGGGGGATCTATCCTAGAAATGCTACTTTAAGAAACTCAATAAATAAGAAGTCTTCCTAAGGAGCAATTTCCAAGCTGAGCTGAAGAAACCACACATGGAAAGGGATTTTAATAGCCAGACAATCAAGAGATTTGGATGTCTCTGATATTGTCAGTTATTATGGTTCCCACCAGAACAGAGCTTATTTTGTTAATTCTCTCATTTGTATTCCCTCTCTGGAACATCCAATTCAGCTAAACTGGTGACCCTTTGGCTAAGATCTCCCAAAGGAACATAACAAATTAAAAACAATTCCTGTTCTGGGGGAAAGCTGGAAACTGTAATGGGAGAGAGACAAACTGGGAATTGTCAGCACCCCAAAAAGATGATTTATATAGGTTTGGGAGGCTGAGGTTAATTTTAAACAGGAGAAATTAATTTTATGAACCCAACTTAAATGAAATGTACTCCTGCGGGGCTCCGTGCACTGCAACCGTGCAAGGAAATATGTCAAGTAATCCACAGGGTTCACTAGGCCAGTCCAGATTCCCTTTAATTAATTCTCAACAAATGTAATTCAATTACTGCCAAGAAACATCGGGCAGCGGGATTTAAACATGTTGTTAATCTCTGTACTGTAGCAAAAAACAAAGCAAAACAGAAAACAATTATACCAGCATTTGCATTTGATCTTGGCAAGTATGGCATAAGATTCATCTACCTCAAATCCCCCCATCTTTATAGCTGATATACAAATAATCTTCCATATAAGAGTCTTTTTTCCTGTATATACACTTGCAAATCAACTAGGCTGCCTTTGCTACTAAAGAAAAATCTGCAAGCTATGAATCAACATATCTAGAGAAGAGAGAAAAACCTGAACACATCAGATACAGTAGTGAGTGCCAGAATTTCTCTCTGTCAGACGCAGAATAAAGTCAATCAAATAATCCTTGCTACACTTTCCACATACCAGGTCAAGTGATATAAATTGATAGGAGTTTCACTGGGCAGATTATGCAGTCCAATTGTTTTCAACCCATCCATCTGTCTAAAAAAATACTATGCTCTATATCTGGACATTTCCTTTATTATTGCTTTTAGTGCCCTGCAGAGGTCCAGACTTGAAGAGAAAAAGATGATCCAAAGGACCCATAAACATGCATGTAACATTTGTTGACTATCCTTCAAGTTCTCTTTTCCTTGAAACATATGACAGCTGTGGAGGGGAGCCATGTAAGCCCAGGAAAAAATACGTCACCTTTAAAAAGTTGCCAACAGGTGCTTACATGTGCACTTACGGATGTTCTGAATCACTTCTCCCTTCACACCTGGATTTCTACACAGCCCCTTAAATGCCAGACAGGAAAAGTATCCCATACAATTCGTTCCAGGGGTCACCAAGCCCACCAATGGTAAAAAAAACAATGACTGAGCTACAGCTTGCTTAACCATGCTTTACTGTGGCATTAGATAGATTTTAGACCTCAGAAAAGCTTGGTTTGCAACTTTTACTGGTTTAGTAAAAGATCTAAACTCTATCACAACTTTGAAGAAAATCTTCTTTTCATCTTCTAAGGTGACTTACCATGAGTTTCACCCTAACTGAAACCAGCTCCTTGGTGGGAAGGACCACAGTCAGCTCCAACCTACCTGAGTTTCTCTACAGAGTAAGAAAATGCAAAAATGACTATGCTGTGACAGAGCTGAGAACTGAATGGATGCAAAGATTACTTTGAAGAGACCTTTGTACAAACAGCTATTCTTTATTTGCTCGCTGTGGTACATAATCCTATTTTGATCTTACAGAATGTGGAGGACATTCTTTTCAGGGACCCCCAACCCTTCTTCACTCAAGATAAGTCACTGAAATCCCCTTTGCAAATTCATTCAAGAGCTTCCTTTTTCAACTGTATCTCTTGGCTTCACGCCCAAGAATCTTCCTGGTTCAAAGTCAAATGGAGAACTTTGCCAATCTGCCACATTGGCTAACGCCTCTCAGCCAGTAGCTATGCCAACTTCACCATAACCCACTCCCAATTTCTCATTTCCAAATTCCTCCACTTCAGTGGGTCAAACCCCAAGTCTATTAGCTGGTTAGAACAATTCTCTGGCTTTCTCGGTTAAGTACATACATAATAAGCCAAGCATCTCCAATATGCCCAGCGGGAACTAAGGTCCAGTACACGCATCCAGATATCTGCTACTGTTGTTGGAGTGTGTCAGTCGTCGTCCCCCCCCCCCCCCCGCCCAAGATTCCTGCTGCGATCCCATCTTCTTACCTGGCGCAGGTACTTCAGCAGATCAGTCGCCTCCTCGTGCCTGCCTTGTTTCACCATCCTCAGCATATCTTGGATCAGGACGATCCGGCGATGGTACGGGGGGAGGCTGCCGCCGCTGCCGCCAGCCCCTTTGCCAAACTTTTCGCTCGATCGGACTACGAGGGACGCCAAGAAGTTTCCGCGCTCCCGAGAAGGCAAAATCCGTCGGCGACTGGCGGAGAGGGGACCCTGGGGGCTGCTGCTGCTGCTACTACCGCTACCGGCGGAGCCGGGCAGCGAGCAACCCTTGGTCTGTTTGGCGCCCATACTGGAGCAAAGCCCACTCTTCCCCTCTCTCTCTCTCTCTTTCTCTCTCTCCCGGCCTTCAGGAGGACATCCTCGGCTCCTGCCCAGAGAGAGAGGCTAAGCCGAGCAGCCGCAGCGCCGAGAGGACAGAAAGGACGGCGTCTCCGAGCATCTCCTGTCAGCACAGCGGATGGATGGATGCCCTCTCCGGCTCTTCACGCGGGACGAGCTGCCTACCAGCCTGTCTGCTCTCGTCCTTCCTCCACCCTTTCGCTCAAGAACCTCCCGAGCGTCCGCCCGCTAGCTTCGGGCGCAACTTCGGGGAAACTGTTGCACATCCGGACCGAGCGCAGAATGGGCGTCGCCGGAGTCGGGAGGAGGTATGCGCGGGCCGGGCGAGGGCAATCGCAGCCCAGCCGTGCCGAGCCGCCAACGGCGAACGAGCCAGGCCGCCTCCCTCCTTCTCCTTCTCCTCCTCCTCCTCCCCCGCTACGATCCGCCTCGAGCTGCAACTGGGCTGGGCCAGTCACAACCCCTTCCTGGCTGGTCGCGTCTCTGCCTGCCTGCCTGCCTGCCTGCCTGCCTGCGCGCGCCCGTCCTTCTGGCTACCCTCCTCGCTCCGCCTGCCGAAGGGGGCGAAAATGCACAACCGCCGCCGCCTCCTGTTTTGGCCGGGAGCACGTGACGAGCGTCTCTCTCTGAGCACGTGCAGAGCGCGCGTCCTCTCTGGCGCGAAAGGAGCCGAACAATATCTCCTGTGAGAAGGCGGGGAAGGCAGAGGGAGCGACTGAGCGGATCTCGGCTTCGCTTCCGCCGCCAGCGAGAGAGCGAGCGAGCGAGCGGGCGAATTCCTTCTGTCCTCTGGCTGCGCGCCGCTCGCCGGAAAGTAGCGTCTGGAACAGCCGCTGCACGCTCTGCCTTCTCTGGCTCTCGAACTCCCCACCCGAAGCCTAGTTCCCAACGCGCGGATCGCACTGACAGGGAGGCGGGTTGGTCCGGCCCCGCCCTTCGATTAAAAAAACAAAACAGATTGAGGCTTCTTGCTTCGCAAGGGCGTCGTGATCTCTCGAGGTCTGAAAGCGTCGTCTTGGGGAACGGGGGCGGCCGCCAAGGGATCTCAAGGCAAGAGGTGGTACGTTGAGTAGCTCACTGGCATTTTAGGTCCAGTGACCATGAAGATGCTCACAGTCATGGTTGTCCCGAAGTGCTTTTTCAAAAGGCAACTGGACTTTGTTTTTCCTTGAAGACGTTTCGCTTCTCATCCCAGAAGCTTCAAGGAAAAACAAAGTCCAGTTCTGAAGAAGCTTCTGGGCTGAGAAGCGAAACGTCTTCAAGGAAAAACAAAGTCCAGTTGCCTTTTGAAAAAGCACTTTGGGTTAGGTCCAGTGAATTCAGACAACCTGCTAACCCCGAGTTGCAAAAAAAAATAGGTACTTCATTGCATAACTCATCACGCTGAACCACTTGATTCAATTTGTAAGACAATTTTTGGTTTCCCACAAGATAACCCAAACTCATTTTAGCCTAGATTAGCATACTGAATTCAGGCTATCCACTCTGTGTATCATTATCAATTTTATTCAGATCCTATCTTCTCTCTGAGTGTTGGATGGGGGGGGGGAGTCTTGACTAGTTTTATTCTCTGGTAGCTTTGACTGAGAAATTCACTGAAATCAGATAATTTTGTGAGCAGATTGCTATTTCTTATCTCTTAAAACTAAGAAGTTCTATTTGTGGCCCTTTAAATAACTCAGGACGGTACGTACAACCAGAGTTTTCCTTCAGAATATTGTCTATTATTCTTTGTCTCTAACTTAATGGTTTCATCTTACAAATCAGTGAGCCACCATGACACCACTTTAACCTTTTGATACCTTTGGATCAATCCTAACTCCCCAGAACTGCCTGGACAAGTCTCTGCAATTTGCCTGCGAGATTTCAAAAGTGATTTATCACTTGCATAGCTGGAAATTAGGGTGTTTTTTTTAAAAGGAGATTTCCTCTAACTAGTCTTATTTATTTATTTATTTATTTATTTATTAATTGTATTTATATCCCGCCCTTCTCCTTTCGGACTCAGGGCGGCTGACAAATGATAAAAAGCTAACATATTACACCTAGTTAAAATTTGATTAAAATGAAATATTTGAGAATGTCAAATTTAAAAGTAATTAAAACCCCTATAAAATCCCCTAGGCCAGTCCCGCTTGCNTCCCACAGAGAAGGCCCTCCCCCTTGGGGTCGCCAGCCGGCACTGTCTGGCTGACGGTACCCTGAGGAGACCCACTCTGTGAGAGCGTACAGGTCGGTGGGGGGTAATCTGTGGCAGGAGGCGGTCTCGAAGGTAACCAGGTCCGGTGCCATGGAGCGCTTTAAAGATAATAACCATCACCTTGAAGCGCACCCGGAAGATTTCATTGCATTGCTGTGTGGTTTAGTGCTCTAACTATAGTATTACAACAATTCTTCTCTGTAGTTACTCTTCAGTTTCTTACAGATTTTCAGCTTCTCTGAGATTCGCTTTTAAAAATGGTATTCCAAATCCCATGGAACCTCCTTTCCTAGTCAGAAATAATGAACAGTATACATATTGTGAATTGATTTTCCATTGGGAAATATTATTTGAATCAACCCAACAACACTCCCAATTATACACAGCTGAGACAATCAAAATTATGAAAACGGACATCTCTGTTAATATCTGTACTACATTTGTTCATGAAACAAAGCCTGTCAGGCATGAAGAATCAGGACATGTTAAGTTCCAGTTAAGCTAATTTATTGCTGATGCTTATACACAAGAATCTAGTCAACTAACAGACAATATTAAATTGGCATTAGATAAGAGTTAATGGAATTCAAGGGGGCGGACTTGGATTGCTTGTGGGAACATAAGGACTCCAGGCTAATTCCTTTCTTGATTCCGCCCCAGGCTCTGCCTCTTCTCTTACAAAGACATAGCCAACCTTGAGTAATGTCAGAAAGCAGTATTAGACTTGGACAAAAGAATTACATAAAACTCAACAACCTTAGCTAAACTGGGAGATTAAAAAGACTGGCAAACCACTTCTGTGTTGGTCCCTGGAAACAATATGGCTGTGTTCATAGGTACATAACCATACATTTCATGTTTCTGAAACATACATCTTTATAGGACAAAAGCTTCTAATTCTGGTATCTATTCCCCATTCTAATGTCAATGTACTTTTTTTGTAATTACTTTCAAAATTAGTAAGAAACTTCTCAAAATACTCAGAGGCTGGACACAAGACTGCAGTTATAAACTGTAATGTCATAATGAATATTTGATCCTTTAAGGTTCCAACTATGACAGTATTCTAAGGTTCAAATATAACTGTGTAAATATAACTAATTATGAAATTATACCGAGGTATAAAAACATTAATACCAAATGAATTCTAGGATCTCAGAGGATTCTCCCCCTGGTTTTCAGAGGAACTTACAGAGTTGAAGTGAAATAAGACATAAGAGCACTTCTAGAGAAAGGAAAAGGGCAAATTTGGCCAGAAATAGATTAAGAAACTTTATTAAGGTTTATGAGGGCAATTTGGAAATAAACCTCCATTTGGTTATCAATGGCAGACACTCGCAGACACAGAATTTTTATTATACACATTAGAAAACTACAACATTACATTACTTTTTGATATAATCGCCATTCAAATTGAGGCACGTCATAACGTCTTACAAAGTTTGAAATTCCTTAGCAGGCAAGCATTATCGTAAACAAACACCACACCGGAAGTGGTATCATAGAAAATCTCACCAAATGTGAAGATGCCAAAGGAGTGCTGCTAGTGAAGTTCATGGAACGTGGTTCGACCATCAATTCAGAAGTCTACTGTGAAACGTTACGAAAACTCAGACGAGCCATCCATAACAAGTGTTGGGGCATGCTGACTTCCGGTGTGGTGTTGGTTCACGATAATGCTCGCCCGCACACTGCAGTTCTCTTGGGATATTTTTGATCAACACCCTCCCCCCCCATAGCCCAGATTCGGCGCCGAGCAACTACTGCTAAGGAATTTCAAACCTTGTAAGATGTTATGACAAGTGCCTCAATTTGAATGGCAATTATGTCGAAAAATAATGTAATGTTGTAGTTTTCTGTGTCTGCGAGTGCCTGTCATTGATAACCAAACGGAAGTTAATTTCCAAATTGCCTTTGTACCATGAAAATAAGAAAGGCAAAACATAGGTATTTTTCCACTCTATTTGCATCAACAAATTGCTCTTTGGCAGTCCTGTTTAAGGTAGCCCATTCTTCCTAGATAAGAGTGGGTCAGATCATTTGACCTTTGAAAGGACTTCTTGAGAAACCTATTGGATAAGGTTGTTTGGATTTACTCTGAGTTGAACTCTACCCATCCACGTCCTGTGGTTATCTGAAATGAGTTTAGCCTATTTGTCCGGAGGAATGGACAGAGTTCTTGAGACTATGAGTGTTGCCACTTGTGTATCAGATCCATGTCCTTCCTGGGTTGCACAAGGCCTTCCAGGAGGTTGTCTAGTCATTGGTGAATTCATTCTTGAGTGAGGTTTCCTCCTTAGGGAATCATTTCTGAGCCTTTCCAGCTTTCCCTTCGGCATGGTTGTGGAGGAAATGGGCAGGCTGCAGCTTCAGAGTGCTTTAAATCCAAGGTTTTCTGGATCTCTTTTAGTTGTGTTTCAGGCCTGAGCATAGGACCAAAACAATATTGATCACCCCTATGGTGGGACTAGGGTGGGAGTGGAATAGCCATCCTGACCCTCTTTGATTTCTTAGTGACCCTTGATACCATCAGTCATGGTATCCTTCTGGATGTGTTTGATTTTTCAAGTGGGAGACATGATATGCTTCCTTTTCTCCATGTTGGTTCCAGATGTTCATAATGTTGGGGAAAGGAGAGTCATTGACCCTTGCTTTGTGGGTACAGGTACCTCTCTGCACCCACTTAACATCTACAGTACATGACACCACTGAATGAGGTCATTGATATAGAGCTGGGTATCATCAGGTATACCCAAGCTGTCTTGGTATCTCGAAGGGTATGGATCAAAAACAGACTGAGAATTAAAGTTATCAAGACTGAGTAACTATGGATTTTGAGGCCTCTTGAATCTAGGGATTTTCTATCTTTGGTTCTGAATGTAGTTGTACACCCCATTGGTCTTACCATTAATTACACTAATAGATCTAGTATACATTTTGAGGGTATTCCTAATCTCTGTTTCCTCCTTGAAGGATAGGTGGCAGTCATGGTTTCCAGGATCTTCACATAAATCCATCTTATGCTTCAGTTACTCCAATTCCTGGATCAGGAGGTTATATTCACAGTCCCTCATATTTCAGTTTCCTTGTCTAGATTCCCTTGTGTTGTACATTGAAGATCACTTTGAAACTACAGCTGGTCCAGAACGCAGCAGCATAATTAGTACCTTGGTACACCCACATAGCATTGCTACTTTGTGAGCTACGCTGGTTGCCAGCAGGCTTTCAAGTGCAAGTCACTGGTTATCAAAGCACAGAACCTGGTTATTTGCAAGATCACCTATTTCTAATTATTTCAACCTGGTGAATAAAATCTGATAAACTTGGCATGCTCAGAGTCCTGTTACCCAAGCAATGTCATCTGGTGGGACTTAAAGACATGCCTTCTCTGTTGGTGCACCTGCACTATGGAATCTATTCCTCATAATATCCAGATGGCCCCAACATTGACTTTTTGAAGGTTTTGAAGACTTGGTTATTGCCCCAGGCATTGGGTGAGGAGGTCTTGTGGCCCATCTGGATCGTTGCTGGTTGTTGAATTGCATCTGGCAAAATTTGCTTTATGTTTGGTTTTATTTAATATTTTTGTAATATTGTATACTACTTTAAGTAGTTGCCTATCAAGTGGACAGTTATAAAAAGTGACTATATAAATTCACAGGACCAACAATATGGGTTCTTTTTTCCCATAGCCATAACCAACAACCTCACAAGTAGTTGATGTTTGGATGTCCACCATCAGTCCAATGTTTGATTTAGCAAGTCCCTTGGATGAAACTGCTGAAAGAATATTATGAAGGTGCTTTCTCTGGATCAAAGCCACAGGTGGTTGCAGAACTTCCAAAGTAGCCATGTTTCTTAATCAGAAGTTTATATTAGGATCTCCCATTTCACACACTAGGTTTTTCTTATTCCCCTGGGTCTCTGACTAAGCAGATTTGGGACTTGGACAGTTATTGTCCAATTATTCCAGGTCATGAATCATGCACTTTCTTGCAACCTGTAAATGCTGGAGCCAATGAAGTAGATGCTAAAACTCTCTTCTTTGAAAAAATTCTGCCTTGTCTATTTTCAACATTTATAGCTCACTCTTCTGTGCAACAAAAATGGGACTTTGGATATCTTCTTTGTTTGTAAAAGAGGATTGGTCCAATCCATGCAAAGTATTTTTTTTCAGTGAATAATAACCAAGACCTGAAAATTGATTTCTCATATCTTGCTGCAATATATACAGTGCTGGTCAGAACTCAGTAGGAAATTGCTAGGTTTTTTTTTTAGAATTTTAATGTTTTGTTGCTATTCTGTGGTTTCTATTGCATTAATCATAATTCCTATTCCTAATGTTTATGTTTTGCAGTTCTGCTGATTTTAATCTTGTTTTATTTAGATTTATTTTTATAATAATTTAACTATCATATGCAGAGAATTCCTGTCATAGCGTGGTATAAAAGCACTACATAAACATTTTCATTTCTCTAACTGAGGAATCTGATGTAAGATCTCCTTTTAACAAGCCTGACCTAAATTTCTTCTACGGAGATTCATTTGTTTCTCAACTCTGAAAATTAGACCATAACATGAGCAAACAGAATGAGCCCACTCATACTCAAAAAATACTTCAGGTTCCCATTTTGTCAATAGGATTGATAATAAACTTTATTTTTGCAAAGCAATATCCACATCTTACAAACACAAAAAAATTAATCTAGGAGAAAAATTGCATTAACAAATCACTGACCACCAGGCTCAGAGACAAATTAAATGCCATCTTAATTCTGCTGCTGAGAAGACTGTAACCTGCAGCGGGAGGCTAGGGGGAGGGAACTAACCTTGAGAACCTTCATATACTGCAGGGTTTCCTAACCTTGGCATTTTAAAGACGTGTGGACTTCAATTCCCAGAATTCCCCAGCCAGCCATACTGGGGAATTCTGGGAGTTGACGTCCATGCATGTTAAAATTGCCAAGGTTGGGAAACCCTGATATGTTGTTGGCCAGAGACCAACAGAAGCGGCAGATTCTAAAAGAAAACAAACAGAATCAAACTGATTCAAGTAATAAGCAAACATAAAAAAAGAAAAAAGGCAAGATCAATATGATCCAAACAGCCACTGCAGTATTCCATTTGTACCCTCTTGCCTGGATTTTTTTCACCAAAACCCTATAACCCATTGTAGCCCTCCACTGCCTGAGAATCATTCCTGAACCATCAGTAGTTCCTATCTAGAATGGACCATAAAAGCAAAAAGTAGAAATATAGCATTGTTTTTTCTCCCAATTCCACAATCTATTTCCCAAGCTAGTACATTTAAAACCATCGGAAGGGAATGCTATTAAAAAACACAACGCTGTCTTTATTTCAGCCCATTTGCTGTTCAACACTAGAATGTGGATATCTCCCCTATCTTGGAACTATATCAAGATATCAAGCAAACAAATCAACTTAATAAGGAATCTTTCTGAACAAAAACAAGCAACCTGTTATTTGATGGAGACATTTGAAAAGGACATCTACTGTGAGCATCATCATAGCAGAAAGTGCAAACAATTGCCAATGCGGGAAGATGCTGCTACCAAAGGAGAAAATGGAAACGTCATTAAGGCAATTAGCAGTGTTTTCAAAGTAATGTCAAGATACAATATCCTATGTTCCTTAAAAGAAGGAAGCTGACCAAAATTATGAATGCTAAGAATCAGGATGGGGGCCAAAAAGAGTTGCAAGGAGTAAAACTTGTGCAATATCCAGAGCTGAACAGAGTTCATCTGTTCTTCACAGCTCTAGACAGTTTGTCACTTCTCTTCACAAACAAATCAGCAGAAAAGTGCTTCAGGATGCATCAAGGCAATAGTTTGGCCCATCCAAAGAGACTACCTACCCTTTTACATCATTAGAACCTCCCAAAGCCCAACTGTAGTTTTAGAGAACAACAATTAATCTACACATGTAGATAGAAGAGTTTCATTTCCAAATGCTTTCCTACATTCAAATGGTGCAAATATCTGGACNTTACTGCTGCTTCAAAAGAAAGACAATGTTAATTGGAATACTGCCCTTCTTGTGTTTTTTTCCAATCTAAAATTATAAGCATAATTACCCTTCTTAACTAGTATTAAAATGTGATTGAATGCTGGTTGTTTGTGTGTTTTTTAAAAAAAACAAATCTAGAAAAGTGGATAACTTTTTGCAAGCAGGATGAAAATGGGAAGAGAAAGCAACTGCCCCCCCCTTTCACACACACATATACACACACACTTCAGTGGAACACATCAGTGACTTTGGAATTGTACTGTCTGGAACGCTGAAGAGATCACTGGGAGAAATAAGGTGCTTTGTTTTAGACACCCGCAAAGGCATCTATACTGTCCCAATGCAGTAAGACATCTTTCCAATCCTTCTGCTGCAGAGTCACACAGACACAAAACATTCCAATGAAAACAGAAAAGGGCTCCCATTAATCTTAGCTGCGCTGGCATAATCTGTTCCAAGGATACTCTTTATATAAATAACCATTACAGGCACTTTAAAAGTCTTTGGTTGGAATAATCCAACGTCTCATGATAAATCCATAACCAATCAGGACCCACTTCTGGGTTCAGCAGGCAATGATTGCAGACTTGGTCACTTTTGGAGGAAGGAGGCAACGGATCATGCTTCTGAGAAAGCAACCTGGAGTTGGGGAGAGAGAGAAAAGGAGACCATATGGTCAGATTTCAGCTATCAGTTACATGTCATAATAAGTCACTGAGTGATCTGAATTGGGAAAATGAAGAGAGACGGATGGCATATGGAACTCCTCTTAGATGGACTTTGACATATGGAGCTGTTATAAAGTAAATCAGATCTTTTACCTGTCAAACTCCTTAACTGTCTCTACTGTCACCAGACAACACGATTCCCTTGAATAGATACATCCACATATACATACTCATATACACATTCTGTACATCTCTATGATACATCCTATTATATTCAGCAGAGTGCCCTGCTGAAAGCTGTGGTTTAATTTTGCATTTAAATATACTCCTTTCAGGCAGCCCAATTAATACACCCAAGTCCCATATACCTCTGAAAACAAAATGTGTCAGGGAACCAACAGAATAGTGCTTCTTTTTCATGATGTTTATAATTAGCTTCACCCACCACATTTTGTGCACACAGCAGCTACTTGGTGATGCTGCCCATGACAGCCAACATTCCAGAAATGTCCTCTTTGCCTAGCAAAGATTCTGCAGATTTTCAGTCATGGGTCTTACTAGTGGGGTTTCAAATCCACAAGATTAATCGATGCGGTTCACAGTATGCTTCTAGGCAAGTCATGTTCTCTTAGCTTACCTACATTGCAAGGTTGTGATGAAACTAAAACAAGCACATATTTGTAAGTCACTTTGTGTTTTTTGATAGGGAAGAACGTAAAACTGTATGATAGAAGTCAAAGGTATCTAAACAAGCTGAAGTGACATTCTGCATGACAGGGAATAAAAAACTGAATTAGTTGATCTTTAAGTTTCTTTCCAACTCTGATTTTATAATTCTGTATAAAACACAACCAAAATAAAATAGGCGAGAGTCAAAAAATGGAAAAGCCCCAAGTAGCTTCCGTTAGATTTGGAAGACAAAAAAGCTGTCAAGTCTGCTACTGGTCTCCCTATTTGTAAGAGGTTAATCTATTACAGAACATGGACGCAACATTAGTGCTTAGAGCTGTTTATGAATAATTCCCAGAATGACAATAGTTGCTAAGGAAGCAGGGGCTCCCTCCCTCAAATTAGCTCCTCCACAAATAATTTTGGTCCTTACCTTTTCAGGACAGAACTCTGAGTTGCTTTGTCGCAATTTGGTTGGTCTGCCTCTGATGACTGCATAGCAGAACATGGTGATGACCATCACAAAAAGAAAATAACTGGTGTGCATTAAATGCAGATTAATTAGGGAGCGGTCATCCTGAATGGAGAAAGAAACAGCATTTCCTAAGGCTGTAGAGAAAGTACAGGCAACTGCCCCGGGAAAGTGCAGGGACATTGTTGAGGCAGAACAATCCCAAACAACCCCCTCGCCCCACACGTACATTTTGGCAAGATCTGGACAGTGATACAATGGACAGAGCACGTGCACTTCTAAGGAGAACATCTACAAATCTTGCTCATACAAGCTCACTCACAGTTCACAGCAAAGTGTAAAAAAAATCACTTACATCTGGAACAATAACCGTCAATTTGGGATTTAATGCATGATAGACTTTCCCAATGGCTCCCTTGTAACACCAGAAAGGGTTGTAGTCTTGGGCATATTTTGTGTTGGAGTCCCTTGCAGTTGTGACGATCTTGTACCAGAAGGTTGCGTTAATGTATGTTTCCGGAATACAGTGAGGTGGCTGACTGTAGAGCAACACACAATTTTGAGCTGTTTATCTAAGTCTCCACCATCTCCTTCCACTGGGTCAACCATTCCCTTCCCATTGCTTTCCAGTTTGTAAGCCCATGCTCTCCTGCAGATTTCTCAGTGGGATGACTCCCACTATTCCACACTCCCCCATTTATCTCACTCCTGCAAAATATATCTTATCACTAAATTGGGGGAAATGGTGGTGATCAAACTAGAAGTTCCCATTTCTAGGGACACATTATAAATTCTGTTTAAAAAATTTAAAACTGGAAAAACTGTCTCAGTGTCTCTTAAGCAGCAAACCTGAAGGCCTGAAAAACCGCAGTGACATGCTTCCCTGGGAGAAATAAGCACTGGTTAGAGCCTTACACTGTGACTGGAAAAACTGATGCAGCGGCTGTCACGGTCATGCAAGTCGTGAAGACCACTTGGTCACAGCGGCCATGCAGAGCACAGTCATCTGAATTCCAGGCAGTAGGTAGGGTGAATGTGATGTTGATTTCCTCATGAGCTTCTCTGCCTTTTGGAGTAGAGCGAGGGGAAGAAAGGGAGAAAGCATAGCGCATCAGTAAAAATTCAGTTTTCAATGTTTAAATACAGGTAGTCCTCAACGTACAACCACAACCGAGCCCACAATTTCTGTTGCTAAGTGAGGCAGTCGTTAACTGGATTTTGCCCCATTTTACAACCTTTCTTGCCACAGTTGCTAAGTGAATCACTGCAGTTGTTAAGTTAGTAACACAGTTAAGTGAATTTTTCCTCATTTTTTTTTTTTACAACTTTTCTTGCCACAGTTGCTAGTAACACAGTTGTTAAGTGACTCTGGCTTCCCTATTGACTTTGCTTGTCAGAAGGTCACAAAAGGTGATCACATGACCCTGGGACACTGCAACTGTCATAAGTATGAGTCAGTTGTCAAACATCCGAATTTTGATCACATGACCATGGCGATGCTACAACAGTCATAAGTTTGAAAAACGGTCATAAGTCACTTTTTTTCAAGTGCCTATGTAACTTTGAACGATCACTAAACGAATTGTTGTAAGTCGAGGACTACCTTTATTACATCATTTAAAACCAGGAGAAAATTATGGTTGCAAACAACTTTCAATAAACTACTATGACGTTAAGCAGTTGATCAAAGCCCACCTCAGCAATTACGGAAGCCAGTTATAACAATAAGATAATGGAAGTGGATGCTTATAGGAAAAACAGAAAACTGTGTGGTGAACTTGTCAATAAAAGCTGTTCCTTTTTTAACCTTTCCAGAAAGATGATTTCTAGATAAAGAACATCCATGATAAAGAACATCCATGATAAAGAACATCCAAGTGCAGACATGGATCTCTCTGCTTTGCTTTTAGCTATTCCTACTTTCTTCCACAGGGCTTTGGGTCCTTAAATATGACATTTGAAATAAATGGTACCTGAAAGTCCAATTTGGTGACCAAAAATGGTAGAAGATAAACTTGTGACATTCCGGGAAATGCCACCAAAGGGTCTGAGGGGGTCCAGTGTCAAAGTGATGGCAACGGAAGTATTGACAGGACCAGAATCTTCAAGTGTTTGTGGTGATGGCGTGGAAGGTCGAGCTTGGCTGCTGGTCATGGCATTCTCTGGAGTTGTGGTGTCATTTATGAGGTGCTTTAATGTTTCATTCTCCGAAATACAGAAATCCAAATCATTAAATCGCAGAAGGAAAGTGTTCCAATCCTTAAATAGAAACAGATCTTTAGTGCCTTATGTTGAATTACAGCCCTCACAAAATCAGTATATATAGTAATACTAACAAAAAACAAGGTTAATTCACGAGAGCTCAATCTCACTCAATAATAGCAATACTTTTGATTTAAGAGATACAGCCATGTCAAGTGCTGCACGTCTGGTTAAATGACAATGGTTGGGGCATCTTGAAAGAGATTACAATTTGAAATTACTACCCTTTAGTTATGGGGGGAAAGTAATCTAGGAAAACGGCATGTGGCACAATGCTAAAACCATGAATTAAGATGCATTAATCTGTGCAACAGTAGAGGTAAGCATCCATTTTACAATTTTAAATTTGAATTGCTAAATAGTTTAAAATCAATTTAAGATTGATGCCAGCAAAACAGATGGCCTTTACTTCTGAGGCAAGATTGACTGGCCTCATTAAAATAAGGTGCCAACTTAAACATTTTGAGTGTTCCTGTCTCAGCCCAAGGTTGTCCATATCCATCAGACACTCGTATTGAACCAGGAGTCCTCCTGGGCATATATAAGCCACTCATTTGACTCTTCATCTCTTGTGCCATCCTGCACAGAACTCCCATTCATTAAACTACAGAATATGTTCTACTCTTATCTACTTATTCCTTTCTGGAGGGTAAGTTATAGATAGTCCTAAAAGATAAACAGACAAGCTTCTAGTCCCAGATATTCAGATATAGGCTCGATTTATACATTACCTCTGTCATTTCAGGGGACTTGATCTCTTTGATCTTAAAGAAATAACCCAGAGTCAGAAAGGCGATGGCCATTGCACTGACACTGATCATGAACACCACAAGAGGCGGGCGGCTGCTGATGAAAACCCTGAGGTTCTCCAGAGGATTTATGTTGAACATTATTCTGATCAGGCCCACCTGCAGAACAGCAAGAGCACAAACTGTAAAAAGCATTATATAAAATAAGGCCTTTGAGATAAATAAGATGCGAGGGAGGATCTTTTGAAATCTCCATTACTGCGGCGTTTGTTTCTGTTATTAAAGGTGAGGAAGGAAGTTGGGCTCTAGCAATCTGTGCTGAGATTGCTGGCAACTAGAAAAGAGGAAGTCTCCCACCTTGCAAGCTGTTCAGTACAACTGGCGGTAGCGAGGGCGTCAGCCGAGTCACAATGGGCACACGCTATTTCGTCTGGGTAGTCAGAATGGACTGGATCTCCTTGCTCCAGCCCAAAGCCAACTTAGGTTTATATTTAGTTTAAAAATGGTTTCGGAATCTTCCCAAGGGGAACCTGCTTGCTCTCTTCAGTTGTGGGTACACTCATCCTCTTCTCAGGGCTAAGGACATTACAGGCAGCTTCTTTGCTCACACTCAGCCAAGGAACAAATGCAACTCTACCAAGCCTCCTTTATGGATATGGAAATACTTAGGCTCTCTCCCAATGTCCACATTCAGGACTCCATCATGCTCTAATCAAGGCAGAAACAGGTACTTTTTTTTGGCATAAAGTGAACTGAAGCATATGTTTTGTTTTAAATTTAACTCAGCTGAGAAATAGGGCATTTATTACTCTGCAGCATTAAAATTCTGCCCTATCTTCACAGAGTCCAGCACAGTTTTTTTTTTAAATCTGAAAACTAATATCTACCCTGGTTAAAAGACTGATAAACTCAAGATGTCTCAGACAACAACAAAGTTAAACAGGGACCTGAAATTTCATTGCCCGCTTCCAAATCACACAGCTCCCAGCACTGCTTGTCTCTCCTGAAATATGACTGAAAAATTAAAGTTTTGTATTTATTTTGGAAAGACACAATATCTGTGCCTAGCCCCCCTTCCATTTTTGTCTCAAGGAAGCAAAGGAACCCAAGTCTTCTTGGGCTTTATTATCAACTCAGCAGTTCATGGTGACTGATGTAAAAGATGGAAGGACTGATGAGAACTCCTGGTCTGAGACAGAAGTTGCATTCATTCATTTCCTGACAGAGCCGTCACCTTCAGAACAGGCAGCCTCCATAAGTATTATATTCTCTTTCACTGGACTGCAGAAACTGCAATCCCTGCTGCCCAAAACACCTTAGCCAATTCTGCACTGAATAGGGGGGGTTGGACTAGATGACCTCTGATATATGTTGCCATTCCAAGACTGTATGAACGACTCGTGGAAGAAATATGGATCAAATGATGACATGAACTATAACATAATTTCTATTTCCATACATTTTTATGGTTTTCTAGCTTGAATTTAAGTCAAAAATATGTGCAAACACATTTTTAAAGATAAAAACACCAAAGAAAAGGTTGTAAGGATTATACTTGCACACTGAGGCTAAGTAACTGAGTAACAAGCCCAGTGTTAATACCGAGGCCTTTGTTCCCATGTGCAATTTCCTGTTTTCTTTTTCCACCTTTTCCTCTTCCATTCTCCTACCCATTTCAAAACCCAATCCAGCCCATTCTTGGAATGAACTAATGTACCTTTCCAGGTAACAAAGCTACTTGCCTGGGCTATGTGCAAACTCCTCCCTCAGGGTCTGGAGCTTTCACATCTTGCAGGATACACCTTGTTTTCTCTGGCTGTCACTGTCAATCATTAGCTAAAAGCAAACAGCTCAGTGAGACTCTAGTCTTGCCAAGCAGGAAAGGTCAGTTGAAGACCCTGCCATCTGTCCCCTGGAACATGTCCTGGGGCCTGTGATGATGGCCGGGTCTTTCCTTGCTATGTGATTCTTTATTATATCTTTTGCTTACCTTTCTGAAAAAATCCCATCCCCTGCCCTCTGGAATGGCATCCTCCCTGAGACAAGTAACAGCTCACACTCTTCAAGCATTTCAGGCTGTTACCAGGCCTGGGGTTAGGCTATGTTAGCAGAGACTTTGTTGAATTTGTATGTGGTTTTGTCCAAGCAGCCATGTTTCTTTAAAATGTTTTTAAATATGGTAAAACGCCCAGAGTCTTTTTGGAATCACACAGCCTCAAAATTCAATCAATCAATAAGTTCATGAGAGGTAAAAGCAAAACAAATCTTCAAATAAAACAGACTAAAAACACTGGCAAGACATTGATGACTGGCAAGGGGGGAAAAAAAACAGAACTCCAGTTTTAACTGTAGTTCTGACATCATTAAACAAACCTTTTCTGAAAGAAAGATATTTATGCTACAAAGAAAGACCATTAAGGAAGTAGCAAAGTAAACCTCATAGTATAAATCCTCCAGAGTTCTAGCATAGTCAATAAAAAGTCCCTTTTCTCTTTCATTTCAGTCAACAACAACAACAACAACAACAACAACAACAACAACAACAACAACAACAACAACAACAACAATAATAATAATAATAATAATAATAATAATAATAATAATAATAATAAAAAAGATTGGGACAAAGAATCATAGAGCGTAATGACTGGAAATGGCCTTGCAGATCATCTCGTCCAACTTTCTGCCCTGTTAAGAATCAGGTCTTTCTTGATATCACATTGGAATAACTTTATCATCCAAAAAGTGTGAATTCTACTCTTATTTTAGGCATAAAACCAGCAGGGCAGCTTTGGGCCAGTCATTGTCTCTCAGCCAATTCTCCTTACAAGGTTGTTGTGGGTAAAATAGGAGAAGGAAGGCGTATTAGATACGTTCCTTGCTTTGAGTTGTTTATAAAAATAATAAAGGTGGGATATAAATAAACATAAACAAGTAAAACATTAAGCCAGCTGAGTGGCTTTGGGCCAGTCACTTTCTCTTAGCTCTTGGGAGGAGGCAACTGAAAAACCACTTCCAAAAATCTTGCCAAGAAAACTGCAGGAACAAATCTGGGTAGTCAACAGAAGTCAATAATGACTTGAAAGCTAAAAGAAATAGAGAAAACAATTCTTCTTCATGCTTTTCAACTGCCTTCTTTTCTATGTCACTGTTGATGCCTGGTTTTGCCTAGCTGTATCTCTGGCCCACATAATGTATTTCAAGTAACAGGCTGAAGTCTCCCAGAATTAAAGGATAAATGAGAGCGGCAGAAAGCATTGTACAGAATGCCAATCTCTCCTTCCCTGAGGCCAGATGAGGCATTCTGTGAAAATATACAATTTTGAAAACACAAGCACCAATACTGCACACTGTCAATGAACACTGTATTTAAGTGTACCAAAATCCTTGCTATTTTAGTGCTGCTTGCAGGTATTTTAATAGTATATACAATAAACACCAAACCATTTTCCCCAATGTAAAATCCACATGAAAATTGCCAAGCATCTGCCACAATATGTCACATAAGTAGATTAATAAATTGTAGATACGTGTACAGTCTACTAAGTGTCAAAAATGTTTTTCTTAAGCTAAAAGCTAACTATTAAGTTACGTACAGAGGCAAGGGAACCTCATCCTTCAGGATACTCTTTTCTGAATTAATCCTAAAGTTCAAATATTCAGGAATATTACACTACTATAACATTGGAAGGTACATGAACACAGAAGAAGAAATCTTATTGAATTTTTCCATCAGTTCTTAGCCTTTGCATTCAAAGATAAATTAACTTCTCAAAAATATGCAAACATGCTATCACACACTATCCAAACCAGCTCGGTGAATAAGCAGCTAACTAGTTCAAGGAAATGAAATAGTACAAAATTGAGTTTCCTGTTCGCAAAGCAATACTCCAAGCTAATCATCCACATCACCTGCACACATTAGGAAGATTCAACAACTGACCACAATTGGGGCCAAAATTTCCATCGCTAAATAAGTAGGTTGTTAAGTGAGTTGTGCCCAATTTTACGAGTTTGTTTTGTCATGGATGTTAAGTGAATCACTGCAGATGTTAAGTGATTCACATGGTTGTTAAGCGGAGTGGAGAAATCTCAGATAGTGATCACATGACCCCAGAATGCTGCAGCCATTGTGAATACATGCTGCTTGTCAAGTGCCCCAATTCTGATCACTGACTGTGGGGATGCTGCAACGGCCATAAGTGCGAGAACCAGCTATAAGTCATTTTTTTTTCAGTACCACTGTAACTTCAAATGCTTGCTAAATGAATGGTTGTACATTTATATATAATTGGCTATGTAAATGTTTTAAATAAATAAAATTCAGTCAGAAGGAGTCCGTAAGCAGACTAGTTGGTACTGGGGAAAACGATCTTTGGGTATTTGGATCCTAAATCTTCTAGGGAGTTATTGACCTTAAAATGGATTCACTAACTCACAGAAAATCATTACAGGCTATCAATACAGTTATGATGTAATCCTAGTAGCAATTGGAAAGAGACGTTAATGTATCAATTACATCTTCTTTAGATTGTCTTCGAGGACAGCCTAATACAGAGTATACAATATTGAAGTAATCCAATCATTACACTGTATGTTGCGGATGACTCCTATTTTTCCTTCTGGGGCTGCTTGGCCTTTTGGTTTACTTAGGATATTTTGGAGGGCTTTCGTTGGCTTGTGTGTTACGCTGATTCTATATGGTTATAGTAGTCTGTTGGTGATTTCTGAGATGTTTTTGATGTATGGCAATGTTATTGTTTTTACTGCTTGCACTGGTTATGCTATATTGGGTTGAGTGATCAGGCACTTTTTGATGAAGTTTTGTGGATATCCAGTTTATTGGAAAACGTTGTACAGATGCTCTTTTTCCCTTTTCTGCTGTTCAGAGTTGCGTGTGTTTGTGCTTGGCTAAATCAAGTTCTTACCACAGTTTTTCTTGTTGGAGTTTGGGTTATTGCTTTGATAGTGGAGCACTTGATTGGTGTGGGTGTTTTTTCAGTACACCTGTGTTTCTAGTTTGCCATACATCAAAAACATCTCAGAAACCATCAATAGACCACCAACACAGCATAGATAAACTCCAAGATTAACATTAGACTAACAATCAAGAAGTAAACAATACCCCAATCAAGGAACTACCAAATCAAGGAACTACCAAACAAGCTATGGTAACAATAAAAGCCAAACCAAAGAAACTCAAGACCACTCCCACCAAACACTGACAGGGCAAGCCACTGTAATATAAACTGAGAGCAAATCCCACTCCTTATTGCACTGATGTTAGCTAGTTTGGCTAATGAAACATCAGCAAGAAAACAACCAATTCAAAGAGCACCAAGAACCTCTCATTTCAATCCTGAGCTACAAATACTCTCCTTTACTGGTACTACATATGGGTGTCAAACGCTTCAGAAAGTATATGAAAGGGAAAAATTTGCCTGCGGGTACACTTCCACCAAGGAACAACTTTTCGTTGAGATACAAACCTCCAATTAACTGCATAGCTGGATAGAAAATAGCCCAAGAAAGTGGGCGAAAATGATACGACTCATGATCACAGATGCACGCCTCAGATTAAACAAATATCAGCACACAATAGCAAACACAAAGAATAGCTGGAACTCACACCAGAGTACGTGGAGAGGCTGGCCACCCCCATCATGATTGCATCTCATAAACATGTCGGAAAAAGAAAAACCAAACTTCAAAGCAAACTCCTCAAACTCAACCCCAGAATCAAAGTGGCACCAGAGCCTGAACCTGTCTAGCCGTTCACTATCTACTGCAGAATACAATATTCTACACAAAGGCCTCAACTATAACACAGATAATGCCAATTACCTGGAATTCTGTGAAGGAGCATTTCAAACTACTGGACTTCCCACAGGAGTCCAAGAAAACATCAAACTATCATACCACAGATCAGAAGATGACAACAAAATCAACTCATAACAGAGAATAGAGCAGCCCTCAGAAACCAGACTATCATCCTCCTACTAGAGATAAAGGCAGAACCATGGTTATAGACAGATCATAATATATACAAAAAGCAAAAAAACTTACCTCCCAGTGAACACCAACACAATAGAGAAACTAGACAACTGGATCAAGAGAACTCTCAGCGACCTCACTAAGAAAGGCCAATTTACCAAAGAAGAACAGTGGTGGATGAGAAGCACTGAAGTAATCTTCCTATGCCTCTAAGGATGCCCCAAAATACACAAGCCTGACATACCTCTCTATCCAATTATATCATTATCAGGGATTCTGGTCTCATCTGATGTCACAGCCCTCTTCACATCCATAGACCCAGACTTAACAAAATACACAAAGACTGAAACACTCATGATTATGGATTTCATAAACCTCTGCCTAACTACATACTTCCAATTTGATGGACAAACCTATTAACAAATTAAAGGTACATCTTTGGAATCACTACTTTCAGGACCTATTGTGAAGGTCATAATGCAACATCTGGAAGTGATAGCACTCCCACAATATGAGCCAAAATATGGATCAGATATGTAGACAACACTTACATCATAATAAAAAAGGAGAAATTAGAGAATACCCACAAAACCAATCAACAACATCTTCAAAGGAATCTACTTTATCAGAGAAGAAGAAAACAACTTACTATCCTTCTTGGATATCCTGGTCAGCAGAGACCACAATGGCAAACTAGAAACACCACCCGCACCAATCAGATATTCTCCTTTATTGGTATCAAACCTTAACAAGGGAGCCTTGATCTCTTCAACCTTTTGAATCCAAATTCAGAAAATACCAATAACCAGGGTGAGTTTATATAAACATCTCAAAATACTGAACTCTCGCATCCTTCCCTTCTTTCACATGGAACCTTGCAAACTTTCCTTCACTTCTAACAAACCCACTAATCAAGTGTATTTACAGATCCCTCTAGATTGCTAAGTTCTCTTACTCCCTAGATACTCCTTCACATCCACTGAAGTTACAGAAAAAATAAAACAAACCTATTTAGGTCACCCTTAAACACAATCAGTTTTCTAAGACCAAATTGGCTGCAGCCATTTCCTTCATTCTAAGTTGCCACAGGATTGGGAGGGGGATGGAGGATTTCTACTAGTCAAAACATTTTACTGTCCGTGGGAACCAAGGTCATTTCTGTCAGTTAGATAGGGGCTGGAGCATTTAAGTTAGAAAGCCCATGAAACTCTTCTAGTGGGAAACGTAGCTGATTGCATAATTCTGGAGTGTGAAGTTCAACTTTGTAATATTGTTGCTTCTGAAGGGAACTTCAGACTTGGTTTCACTTTTGACCATGCAGATACTATGTAACCAATAAACATGTTCTTTTAGGAAATCTCAAGCCCTGGAGTTCTGATTTATTTGGTCTTGTCTATCAGAACCTTGACATTGGCATTACTTGGTGTAGAGCCAATTTGGTGCAATGGTTAAAGTGCTGGTATATAAAGTGAGAGACTGAGTCCCACCTTAGATATGAAAAAAACAGCTGGGTGACTTTGGGCCAGTAACTCTCTCAATCCAACCCTCACAGGGTTGTTGCGGGGAAAATAGGAAGAGGAATGAGTATTAGCTCTGTTTGCCATCTTGACAATATACAATATACAGAAGGTAGGATACAAATCTCACAAATAACCAAACCCAAATCTTCTGTCCTAGAAAGATGTTCATCTCACATCTGGCTGGCCCCATTGCCCATGAAAAGAACAAACAAATTACCAAACCCAAGTCTTCTGTTGCAGAAAGATTTTCATCTCAAGTCTGGCTGGCCCAACGCCCATGGAAAAGAACCTAAGCCTGCAGCACCATTTGAAGAAGCTTCCGAGAACCGAGGGAAGCAATTCCTCCTCCGTTCCTGACGCACGGGCTCCTGAAATCCAGGCCTGGGGCTGCAAGAGAGAGCGCGCGGAGAAGGATGAAGGAAAAAGGCCGAATAGGAAACAGGCAACATTTGCCACCCCCGAACCTCCGGCACCCCGTCCCTTGGGACAGGGGTAGTCAACCTTGGCTCTTTTATGACTCGTGGACTTCAACTCCCAGAATTCCTGAGCCAGCTAAGCTGGCTCAGGAATTCTGGGAATTGAAGTCCACGAGTCATAAAAGAGCCAAGGTTGACTACCCCTGCCTTGGGAGGTCAGGGAGGGAGGGAGGATCTGCCCCAAAACGGACGAAAGGAAGCCCCTTCTGTATCCAGGTGGATGTGTCCCGCCCCACCCCTTCGAGGGGCACCACGAGAGGAGCAGGCAGCCACGCTCATCTCTCCCTCCCTGGCAAAGGAGCGCCCTGCCCCTAAATGCCTTCCCCCCCCCCAGAAAGAGCCTCAGTGGGCTTTTCTCCTCTCTGATCACCGGGCGACTCCTCCACTTCCTTGGGGGGGGGTCCAGCAGGTTTTCGCTCCCTTTCTTACCTGCGCCGAGCTCAGCGCGGAGGCTGCCGCATCTCTTTATCCTTGCCGTATGGTCGCCCTAATAGCGGAAGCGCCGCGAGGCCTGCGAGCAGTCCTGCCTACAAGGAAGCGCGGACGGCGGCGCCGCGGGGACAAACTTCGTCCACCTCCGCGCCTGGCAACCCAGCTCGGCCCGCCCTCCCCTTCTCGGAATGGGATCAGAGTCTTGACGTCATCAGCCTTTGCGAAGTTGCGCGCGCCTTCTCAAAATTCTCAGCTCCGCAATATTTATGCCGCCGAGAGTCCGGGCAAAAAGGCGCCAACTGGCCAGTCAAGACCTAGTAAACACGTTCGGGACCGGTGTGTCTCAGTCCTCGGAAATGTTTGGATTTGATTTATAATCATACAAATCGACCATGCACAATGTTTTGTGGGGAACCTGTGACACAATCGGCTGTTTATAATATTGCAAATCATTTCTATCAACAGCCATGGCACGTCACCAAAGAAGTGGAAAACTTCTCGTGGTAGCAATCATAAGTACAATAGCAAAGGGGAAGAAACATTTGTATGGGTCCAAAAGGCTGCTGATGGATCAGAGGCAGCTTATTGTAAATTGTGCCACTGCAATCTACCGATAATTAGCAACCTCTCATGAAGAAAAAACGGAAAAGCACAAGTGGAGAACTTTGTTATAAGGCCAGATGCAACTTAATGTAAGAAAACCTCCTAGGCAAGACAATGATAAAGTTAAGGCAGTAGAACTTCAAATTACTATTAAGCATGACCTGCCACTGTGTGATACCTTCAGTTAACCACTGGGTGAAATTATGATAGTACGTGATTACGGAAGTACAGTGGAGCACATAAAGTTACATAGAAGTAAATGTGTATGCTTAATCAAAAACATCATTTTGCCTGCATTAAAAACTGATGACTTTCAGAAATGTTTTTATTTATTTATAACCTGCCTTTATTATTTTTATAAATATATCAAGGTGGTGAACACACAATACTCCTTCCTCCTATTTTCCACACAACAACCCTATAGAGTTGGGTTGGACTGAGAAAGTGACTGGCCCAAAGTCATGTTTATGCCTGAGACAGGATTAGAATTCACAGACTCTTGGTTTCTAGCCTGATGCCTTAATATGCCATCATTATAGATAAATCTACTGATATTTCAAGACAAAAACACTTGTGTATTTTAGTTTGATTTTTAAAGTGATCAGACAGAGGACATAGTAACTAGATATATAGGTTTAATTCCACTGCGAAAGGCTATATATGATGAGGAAATGATAAGATGTGGCCAAAGTCTTGCAAATTGCATTGCTTTTGCATTGGGTGGTGCATCAAACATGATTGGGAGCTACAACTTTGTTGGTCTAGACTCCTTTCTGTGTGCAACTCAAATGTATCTCATTCGCTGGCACAGTACATTCAATATACTGAACCAAAGACGCCATCAAATATTGGGTTTTTACTATCAGAAATACCTAATTGGTTTGCCATAGTGAATTGAGATGAGAAACATACAAAAAGTTGTTTAGAATGATGAACACAGCTAGAGAATTTGAGGCAACCCGAACTGCTCCCCTCCCCTTTGAAAAACCTTCACAGTGGCTTGTGCATGGACAGGTTATGTTTACTATTTTGATGAACAGGGAAGAGCTAAAGACTTATTTTGCTTCTGCTGAACTTGCCTGTTCAAAGTTTGATACAAAATTCAAAGCAAGACTCCTAAAGGAAATGTAGCATCCCAGTGTTTCCTAACATAATAGCTGCTTCACCCAACATATTCATTAATACAGTTCATTAATTTTAGCATAGCTGATTATATGAACTCAGCTTGTGTTTTTTTTACCCAGGTTCATTGGTTATGCATTGTATGAATCCATACAATTTTTGTTACTACATTCCGGGGATATCTGAATCAGCCAAGATGTAGTTTGAGTAATTATTTCTGTTCAAACTGCTGAATTGGATTATTCAATTTGAAGATCTGGTTCAATAAAAATGCATTTGTGTGCACTCAAATCATTTAAGTGATTAGATTCAAAGGGATACTTTGACTGTATTTAATGTTTGAATCAAAACTTCTCACATCCATTGGCTAAACTTTTTATTGACACTAGCTGCATGCAGTTAATAGGAGGAGTCTGTGATATTTAAGGATTGATTTTGGTATAGAATAGATCATTCCTGTTTGCATGGAATGGATTCTTTTGCACTGAATTTTCCTCATTCTTAATACTGATGATGAATCATGGGTGCTGTCCTTATTTGTGTAATATTTTCAGAGAGGTTAGACTTCCCTAAATAAGATCTATCCCAAATCAACCATTGTTATTGTAAATTTCCAGACATGAAAAATAAGCCAGGCCCTCTTATCCCAGATCGCTCCTTCATGTAGGCTAGTGGGAAAGCAATCTATGTTCAGATGTTAATATTTTCTAAAATGTTGTCAAACTTGGAAAAAACGAAGCATTTTATTCAGCATTATTTAAGTGTTTCGATGTGTTATAATGGACCTATTTTGTTTTTTACTTCTTCCAAACCATGGAAATTTAAAAAATGCACTGCCCACTTCCATGCTTGCTGCCCTTGGCTGAAGCAAGATGAGAAAAGTTTTGTCTTATACATTTAGTTATTAAAGCAGTATACAGATTAGCTAAGAAGGATGAAACAATAGATCTCCTCCATTCTTGCTTATTTTTTTTATAGGTAAATATCTATGTTCTCCTCCCCATAGATATTGCCCTCTCCACTGAGGCCTGCTTATTTATGAGGTATTACAGAAGATGAATATACTAATACAGACATAGTACTAATGAGACATAGTGCTGGACAAACACTTTGTATTAGATTTTTCCGATGTATCACTGGTGATGACTGAGGAATATCCCTCTTTCTGCCGAAAATGGCAGCCATTCATTCCCCATCCTGCACCAGAGAAACATTTTGGGATCATATTGCTGGGTTCTGCTTGGGTCACACAAGATATACTGGCTCTGTGGCCTCATAAAACTTCATTGGACAGACATAAAAAAAAAGGCTGCCACCTGTCTGCTACCTAAGTTTACTGCTGTGCATATATTTGCTATAGAAAAGCAAATAGATTATGCAAAATGCAGAAAAAGAATGAGAAGTGAGAAAAAGCAATTCAATAACATTAAATATACCTATAGTTTATGTATCTCTCCATTCCTTTCTGTCCTTGGAAGTCATCCTTTTTTTCTACCATATTGCCTTTTGTTCTTTAAGTTTCTCCTGTCTGTTCTTTGTGGATCATATCAACTCCATCCAGCCATGATTTTCCCGATCTTCCCGTTCCTCTTGATCCATTCTTTCTTCCTTCATATTGTTTCATGATTCAATTCTCATTCATTTTCTCTATAATGACTAAACCAACTCAACGTTATTTCATACTGATCATTTCAGTACAAATCTCCCTGAGTCCAGAGAACCTCAAGGTTAAAAGTACAGGCAGTCCTCATCTTATGATCACAATTTGAACCAGAACTTTTGTTGCTAAGCAAGATGGTTGTTAAGTGAGTTGTGCTCAATTTTACAACTTTTTTGCCATGATTATTTAAGTGAATCATTGCAGTTGTTTAATGAATCACAACATCATTAAGAGAATCAGCTTCCCCCATTGACTTTGCATGTTGAAAACATTCACTTTTGTTACAGTTCCTTTCACTTGGGGCAACAGTTATGGCCTTATTCCAGATATCAGAGATAGATGCATTTTTCACATACTTGTTAAGCAAATTATATTGATACCCCATAAGTAAAGCATCATTAATTTAATTATTTCTTCAGCTATACCTTCTGAAACCAAGGCTTTATTGTTTTTCAAAAATCTCATAATATTTATGATTTGATTTTGATTAGCTGTTTCCCTGGATGGTAGCCTTTACATATTCCCTTTGATTCCATTCTTCAATATACAGTATTGCTATCATCCTAAATATTTTTTTCATTTTTATTTTTAATTCCCTTGATTCTATTTTAGACCATCTTTTCACCTACTTGCAAAAGAATTTTTTTTTAAATTTCCATAAAAATTATTCCACATTTTCTTTGCCTTTTTTAATCTTAAAATTCTTTACTTCGACTATATTCTTCACAACTGTTCTCTCTGTATACATTATATAGTATTTCTTTGTCCTCATTTTTCTGTAGCAATGTCTTACATTCAGTTTTTTTTCTCAGTCTTTCATTTCATTTCCCAATCATATTTTTTCTGTGGTACTTCATAATATAATTCTATTCACTCTTTTCCAAGCAGCTTTCACATTACCATTCCTTATATCCCCTTTCATTAATTCAAAAAAAGATGCATAATGCACAACAAAGCCTTAATAACTTAATAGCCTGGTAACGAGACATTTGGAAACCAACCCACAAATTCAGAGAATGACCCTTCACCCCCAAAGCCTTAATAACTAGAAAAAATCAGTTTTGCTTATTTTAATTTGTTCAGAGTATGTTGAAGAGAAGCAGCTTGTTATGTCTTTGTTAAAACATTATTCTATGACTTTATGCCAGCACATAAAAAGTTTAATGCAACATTTTAAAATGTTTTTAAAAATCCTCTTGGCTACTTTTGTATAAGGCTGGTGTTAGAGAGCACTGTGCATGGGTTACAAGACCAATATGTTTCCGAATCCAAAGAAAAATGAGGGAGCAAAAAACCTTTTTACATTCCCATTATTTCTTTATGGCAAAACACTTAGAACTTTTTAAGTCTTACTCTGTCATTCTGATGAAATGTTCAGATTAGGCTATTTTGATCCATGTTTATTATATTTCTTTTCCCTCATTCCACATACATTAAGAGCTGTTACCTATGATTTGTTCAGCTGGAAGTGAAACTTATTTCATTTTTAAGGTTGGGAACATACATAAAATGCACTATTGAAAAATTCAAGGAAAATGGAAGTTGGATATCCCTCAGCATTAGCCACCAAACTGATCTTTGAGAAAAACATGTTATTCCACAAAAAACACATACTGTTTGAACTACAGATAATCCTCAACTTACAACCATTTATGACCGAAGTTATGATGGTGCTGAAAAGTGACTCAAAAAGTGACTAGTCCTCACATTGACCATTGTAGTGCCTCCCCCGGGATATATGATCAAATTTTGGGTGCTTGCAATCTGCAAGTATTTATAACAGTCACTGTGTCCCATAGTTATGTGATCACCATTTGAGACCTTCCCAGGGACTTCTGACAAGTAATGTCAGTGGGGGAAGCCAGATTTATTTAATCTCTGTGCGATTCGCTGAATCTTTTTATTCTTCATCCTGGTGTTTTCCTATAGACACAGGTTCTGGTTTTCCGATCAATGAATACCATTTTATGGGAACAAATGCAGCAACTGCGTCCAACCAGATAATTTTAATGTCCATGTTAATTGAGTCCTGTCACCTCTGCTTTGGTCTTCTGCAGGGGAATTGCCATCAGTGATAAAGTGCTAGGTGGCATAGGCAACAGTGTGAGCATACAACTAAGCATTTTTCTGCATCTCTAGGCATTTTCCTGCATTTTCTGTTACTGGTGCCACATCCATGATTTGCTTAATGACTGTGGCAAAAAATATATATTGTGAAATCCGATGCAACTGACTTAATGATATTGCTTAGCAATAGAGATTTCAGTCCCAATTGTGATCGTAAGTCAAAGACTATCTGTACTATTACAATCTTTAGTTCACTTGCCAATTCACCTCCCTGTGCCTGAAACAATCCACTATTGACCTAAACACAAAAGACCGTTTTAGTGACCATCTGGTCTCCACAAAAAAAGCAGAGCCCTTATGTTGTAGTCTTTTTACCATTACTCTATATTGAACAGTAACAAACTAAAAATGATAGCTTTAAAGTGTGAACCTGCTTTGTTGGGCCTATCAATTCCATGTGATTTACTGACTTTTTCTTGTTTGAAAGCACTTCTTATACATCAGAATGAACAGGCACGTGTAATAAGCACTCTGCTCGTGGATCCCAGGAAGTCTGGAATTCTGGTTTAACACGACGTGACAATATCATTAGTTTCCTTCTTTCAGCTAGCTTTATGGCTTTCAGCTCTCCAGATTATTTTGCAGGCAGAATTGAAACTGATAATCAGATAGCAGAGATGTTGAGATATACTACAGTTAAGATCAGAATTTTATTTGTAATATAAATCTTTGTTATATTAACTGTGTGTGTGTGTGTGTGTGTGCACGCGCACGTGCGTACAAATAATTGGGTTTTATATGATGGAAATTATGCACTTGAACAGTTCCTTCATAATCAAACATCACATTTACTTTGTCATTTATAATCTTTAGAATCCACTTTTAAACAAATGAAAACCAGTACAAAAAAGGAAAGTCTTCAAGACCTTTTAACTGACCTCCTTACAAGATTTGTTCATGGAAATAGTTTAAGTCATTTACTGCTCTTCTGTGTCACAAAACTCCAAACTAATGATCCAAAGCCCCCAAGCTGCAGAGAATGGGGAGAGCTCCCATTTTGTCAAAAGGAAAAGACGGAAGACCCAAGAAATGTATTAAATATAGCGCTAAAGAGCTACATTCCCTGCAGAAGTCTAGCAGGCTGGGAAGATTGTTTGCTACATGTCTTACTGGCCAGAAACTTTAAAAAAAATCTCAGTTTCCTGCATTGGAAGAAACGGGGACAGGGGAAGCTGTCCAGATAAAAGTTTATCACTTACCCATCAAGGTAAGAGAGTCAAAGAAACAATACAACTTAGGGGATACGGAGGAGACTCTACTACAGATATCTATATCATGACAGCAATAATGACAAAACATATGCACGCCTCCAGTAACAGGGCTATGATTCACCAGAAACTAATCTTTACTTCACTTCTCATCTCCAAAGGCCTTATGCATAGACTTTTATTGGATGCTATGCCGAGATCCATTAATCTATTTTATACACACGCACACGTGGGTGCATGTGCACACGCACATACACACTATATATATAGTGCATATATATATNTGTCTGTACATATGTGTGTATGTGTACACACATACATACATATATTAATATTCCCAGTGAGCATTATACACATGGGTATTATTTTTAAGTTATTTTTCCATAATAAACAAAAAGTACCATTTAGGATTTCAGCTGTTCATTTTAGGTAAGAAATTTCTCTCCAATATAGAAAACCAATTCTGATGGAATCACATTCAGGAAATGCTGACACTAACAGAGAGAACATTTTCATTGTCCTTTCTTGGATTTACATTCATGGTCATTCTGGAGAAGGAGAAGCAGAAGCAGAGCCAGCCCAAATAGCTAACCAGAGAAAAACCAGAAAGGCAAAGGTGATCAACCAAGAAAGTTCTGTATCATTTGTGGAGTATCAGAATCTTGCTTCCATCTTAATGGAAAGATATAAGTCTTCTACAAATCTTGACGGCTTCTTAACAGGAACACACACACACACACACACTCTGCTAAAGTCATCTCTGCCATGCAAGGACATCTCACACTAGAGATTCCTTGAAACATGGATCGGATGCTTGGCAGAGGAAGGCTCCTGGGCCCAGGCCAGATAGTCAGTTTGGAGCTAAAGAACAGTCTCCAAGGATGCACTAAAAGCCATCATGATTCTGTGTCCGAGCCTGAGCTGCTCTCTTGACTAATTTCAATCTGCAGCGATGGCAAGTTATCAAGTCGGCTTTTCTTTTGACGTGACTGTTCTTTTTCTTTAATGAGGGCCCCCCATGCCCGCTGGAGCTCAGAGTCGTCATCTTCTGGTGATACTGATGATTTTTCTGCTCTCTCTGGGACTTTTTCCTGCGTCTTTGATGCAGATCCCAAACGTGTCCGTAGATTTGCTGTCATTGTACAAAGAGAAGAATGTAGTAAGAATTGTATGCAGAGAAAAAACATGCTGTCAAACAGGCATTAAGTCTTCAATGATACAATCCAAACTAGGATTTTACAATTACAATGTATTCTGAACAGTAAGAATAAAGTATTGGGCATACATAT